TCATTCAATTTTCCTTCACAGCTAATACCGTGATTGACTAAGCAGAAGTGGAGAGGGAAAGGAACTACCTTAGTTCAAGATGTTTCCTAAACCAGAGTGCTTAACCTGGCTCACGATATATTTTACACTTTCGTTTGCCACAGCAGCCTTTAATGCCATCACAATTGTTGTCTTTATAAAACATCGTAATCTTCGCAACCGTGGCGCCTACCTGATCATAAATCTGGCTGTTGCTGATATGTTGGTGGGAGGTTTTAGCACATTTGATCTTTCTTACTTTTATGGACAGACTTGCAATATTTGGAAGTCTAATTCAGGAAGAATTTCTTATCTGTTAAAATTCGCTATTATATTTCTTTTTCTTGTCTGTTCCTTAGCAAATGTTACTGCAATTTCTTTAGAGCGCGTGCACGCAACATTTTGGCCATTTAAACATCGCGTTTTGAAGAAGCGGGTTTACAACGTAATAATTGTTGTTATTTGGATTATAGCTGGGAGCATGTCATTGGCTTATATAACTCTTATAGAATTTAACGCGCCGTCGGCATTTTTTTATTTATGGAATTCGTTTAATGCGATCTGTTTGTCGGTGATCTGTATCTCTTACGCCTCAATTTTTGTAAAAGTTCGTTACAGTTCACAGGGTTTACACAGCAACGCTTCTACAAGGGAAAGAAAACTGACTGCCACATTGTTTACTGTAACATTTCTATCTCTCGTTTTGTGGCTTCCTTATGTTGTGAACAGGCTTCTCCTGGAAGCATCTAACTTCTCTATAATGCCGCCTTTGCGCTTAGACTTCTTTTTGGTTTTTTTATTTCACACCAACTCTTTCATTAATCCTATATTATACCTTATTAAAATACCAGGATTTAGGAGAGCATTAATTGCCCTATTCAAAATATGTTGTCCACAGAACAGACAAGTGCAAGTTTTTCCGTACTAAGGATACATGTGATGTGACACTTAAAGAGATGAACAAGTTAAATTCAGGAAAACTTGCTCCGTCAAGTAATTCTTGAGTAAGACGTTTTCAATGTATCACTTTATCAGACTTTCCTGAATAAACAGTTTCTCAGGTTTAGGACACAGTTTATTTTGAAGTAACTCCATACCATCTTTATCGTTTTTAATCGTAATTTACCTTAAATTTATACACCATCAAAAGGATTTTATTCATCATTATCTTTATTATTGTTATTGTTATTGTTACTACTTATATTAAACTGATGGGTATCATGAAAAAAATATGTAATTTTCGAATCATGTTCCAAAAGAGAGTAAGAAACTTGACATCTATTTGGCTAAACCTCAAAGTAAAGCAATGGAAAAAATTTTGTCTGTGCGGTAGATTGCAGTTATCTCGCACCGTTCATAACCATAGGTGACCCAACCTGCCTTTGAAAGTCG